CTTCTTTCACAGATGGGGGACATGGAGGTGAACCTCCTGGCTTTAAGGTTCAAGAGCAAACTGGAAAGGTTTGTTGCCAGGTCTGAGGATCCCCATGTCTTCTCAGTGGATGCCTCTGTGACTCTGTGTGATCAGTTCAGCCAGATCTTTGCCTTTCCCACTCATCTGCTCTGCACAATTTAGGTGGAGGGCATTTCTGTGATTTTTATTGCACAGAACTGGATTAGGCAGACATGGTACATGTACCATGTCAGAATTCTGACAAACTCTAAAAGGGTTCTCATTTCAGTTAACCCTACACTGTTGAAGCTCTACCATCACATTGGAAGGTGTATCTCTTTTGGTGCAAAGCAAAAACATTTGCAGTCCATGAGATGACTGTTGACTCTTTTGCCTCATCAAGGATCAGGTCTGGTTATACTGGACTGCCTTACAGCTTCAGTTGCCAGTGTCTACATCTCATAAAGGAGATATTGTCTCTGAATACCATCCTTGTAGTGTACTCCAAGAAATAGATTTTACAGGTAAGACAAAAATTATACTTGCACCATGCTGTACATTTACTGTCTAAAACACCTCACACCATATGCCATGCTATATATTTGCTTTTCCATGCCACCTCATTCTGTTTGCCATATTGTATATTCTCTATTCCACACTGCTTTGTTTCATATGCCATGTCATACTCTATGTTCCCTATTCTACACAACATTATTCTATATGCCATGCTGTATGTTCCCCATTCTGCACCACCTCATTCTGTATGCCTTGCTGTACATTTTATATTTCACTCTGGTTCATTTCAATATACCAAGCTGTATATTCCCTATTCCACTCTCCTTATTCCATATGCCATGCTGTATGTTCCCTCTTCCACACCATCTCATTCTGTATGCCAGACTGTAAATCCCAACATCTCTGAATGCCATCCCTGTAATGTACAAATGAAGAAAATGGAAATTTGTATTACCTATAAAAACTTTTTCTTAGAGTACATTTAAGGACACAATTCCTACCCCTTTTTTCTGCTCATGGTCAATGCATACTATTGCTTGCTAACACAAAATAGGCTTAGTAGGAGTGGGGGGGGGGGGGGGGGGTTATACTGAGCTGGCCTACAGCTTTGTTTGTTAGTGTCCACATCTCCATCTCAAGAAGTTGTATTCACTGAATACAATCCAGTAATCTGTAGTGTAAGCTAAGAAATACATTTTACTGAGCAGGCCTACAGCTTTGTTTGTTAGTATCCACATCTCCATCTCAAGAAGTTGTATTCACTGAATACAATCCAGTATGCTGTAGTGTACGCTAAGAAATAAATTTTACAGGTATGAAACAATTCCTACATAATTTTTTTTCTGTTATACCTCTTGTTAGGTTTACATCTGATAAAGTAACCTGGGATATTCACAAGCAATTCTTATGGGGGCCAGCATTTATGATCAGCCCTGTTCTAGAGGATGTAAGTACACATTGCCATTATTATGCATGACATTACAGGTAAATCCTGCACAGGCCCCGAGGCCCTATAAATGACTGTTCGGATAATGCACATAGGCAAAGCAATAAGTGTATGTTTTATCATGCTTAGACAATGGGGTTTATAAAATAAAAGAACAGATACTGTTCATTTGGTAAAGTGGATGTCCAATAAGCTTATTGGCCTAGGGGTATCTATTGTCATATCAACCCCCCCCCCACACACACACACACACACACACGACTGGGTTTTCAGTGTTCAAAAACAGCTTCACTGTATTATCTAACATTCACTCTGGATGCATCTGTCTTCACCCAGGGTTGCTCATCCATCCTTAACCCCAGCTGTGTAAGTGTACAAAAAATGCAAGGATATCAATAAAAAAACAATTCAATGTAGTCACTTAAAAAAAAATTCCTTCATCAGAAAGATGTCTACTAGTGGAGGTGCACTTTGGTGGTGAAGTAATTAGGATGTATGGAGTATGAAGAACTAAGGTAGCAATACCCTTTGGTTTTGAGACATACACTTAAAGAAATATGTGGTTTCATTATGATATAAGACACTGTTACTCAGTAAAAGGCCATAGTGTGTACTGTAGGTGTGGATAACATTCTTTATTTTGTCAGGTACAAATAAAATCAAGTTATAGAAATAAAATCAAGTTATATAATTTTGTTTAAACTTACTGGATACATATAATAAAATGGTGTTCAATCTGAATGTGGTTCACATTCATTCCTCTGCTAATACTATATGTTTTATACATTTTAGAAACAAAGATCAGTTGACGCATATATACCAAACACTCGCTGGTACGACTATCACACGGTAAGCCTTAAATAATTACTTAGCCTCCTGTAAAACTGTCCTTTCTGCTAAAAGAAAAAAAAAATATTGGCAAAAAAAAATATAAATTTTTCTACGTCACTCTTAAAACAGTCCTGCATAGAAATCCCCATTCACATCCTTGCTGAGTAGCTGTTTACAAACTTTTAAAGCTGCTAAAATGAATGCTCAAAATTGTTTGGTATTTGGGACAATGCAGACTTAAGCTAATACTAGCAGTTTTAAGGGATTTTGCAGTCCCCCTTGTGGAACAAGTTAATGAGTTGCTCCTCTTTAACCCCTCTTTTAACCCCTGATTCACACTAGCCCCATGGATGTGGGCTTGTTGTGGGTGGAGGAATTGCACCTGTTCCTGCAACCACCTACAGTGGCATCGCATTTCTTTTGCAAGACGCAGGGAGTGCCATTCATTCTGAATGGTACCCCGATGCATCTCATCCCGCCGTGCGATTGCGGCTTTGGGAATCGCAAGGAATCTACATGGTTGAAAAGATGACATGGTTTGCATGTGGATGCGTGAAATGTGGGCACAGCAGCCCATTCAAATGGACTAGTGTGAACAGGCCTCAGACTGCTCTTGAAGAAAAGACCTTTCAGATTAAGGGGGTCTGTTTTGTATAAAAATCTGCTGTGTGAATGTGACAAACATTTTGCACAGCTGTATAGCAAAAAAAATAAATAAATCACCATATTTTGTTAATTCAATTATTTCCAGTGATTGCTATTGCCATCTAGTGGCCATAATGCAGTATTCTCCTGAATATGGTATTTTGGGAATAATACAGCATTATGACCACTAGATGGTGCTTATGATCAGTAAGTTAGTAGCCATAATGTTTATGGTATTGCTGAACTGGATTTGTTTCTTTGACCCATTTGTTAAAACTGGGAGATTTGAGTCTATTGCAGCTATTTAGAGATTATCAATTTAGCAGTGAAAATTCTGTTGCACTTTTAACAAACCACAAGAGCAATAAACAACCATCACAAATCTAAATATACAGCAACAAATGCAAAATATGTAATGTAAATCATAAGCAGAAAAAAAAAAGACAGAAGCAGATGACAAAACGTTGAGATCTCACTAAGGTGCCCCCACACTTTGATACAGTTCTTCCTTTCAGATCTCTAAAAATAGGGGTCTTTCCCCTGGTTTTTTTAATTATTTGTTACTTTTATGAAAAATAATATCTAAATATAAACCCTGGCTGTTCTATACATTTATTAAAGTTTAGGATGGTATTACACAATAAAATCTACACAAGGTCCTCTGTTCATTCCTAAAGTAGTAAACCGCATTTGAGAAAAAAAAATCCCTGCAAGGTAAAGTCATAATGTGCTAGTATGCACCACATACTAGCACATTATGACAGATTTATCTGTGAAACTGAACCCTCCAGCAGCACCCTGTCACTGCAGGGAATCCTTCCTCACCTGGTCTTCCTTCCAGGTTCTCCGCCTCCAGCTGCTTGAATGGGCAAGCAGCAATGACGTCACTCTTGTGCATGGGAGTCACAGCCGCTCCACTGCTTTTAATGGATGACTTGATGTTCATTGAGAGTGCAGTGCACATGTGCCAGTTGCTTCATATGTAAATATCTCCTAAACAATGCATGTTTAGGAGATATTCACGGTACATACAGGTAAGCTTTATTATAGGCTTACCTGTAGGTACAAAGCAAAAAATGGAGCTTACTCCCACTTTAAATGTATGATGTAATGTAGGACAAGTTCATAATATCCAGAAAACAACCAATGTCGAAAATGATCCTGAGAATTTTTATATCTCTATTTTCTATTAAACCTTTTGCTGCAAAGTAAAGCTTACGTTGGCAGCAGCATGAGCTTTTAAACTCACTCCTGACTGCTGTATATTTAGCAAACTCACTGTCCCTTTTTGTTGAAAGTGATTCTGATAGTTATAGAGCCACCCAAAAACTTCCACACACACCACCAAAGATAACAACCCCCCACCTGACTACCCCAGGCTATATATTCCAAGCTATGGAGCAGCTCCTGTGGGCCCATGAGTTATAAAATCTCTTACCCCACATACATGCACATACATGCATAAATGTATGAATCAGGTGTGCCTACACATGAAAATAATGATTGCCTTGGGGAAAGGCTTTTTTTAAAAACCGTGGGGATTCTTGAACCTAATGCCCAAACAACATATAACCACCCAATTTCGTGCCATTACATTTATTTTTTACAACAGTAATTCTCCACCCCTCTTTTAAAAGTAAAATTGCAAGGTATCTCTTTAATAAAAGCTGTCTGCAATTTAGGTTTAATAAACATGTATGCCAATATCATGTGGCAATAAAAATTGCAACTACCACCATTTTATTTTACAGGGTTTCTGCTTTCAGAAAATATATATTATGTCTTGGGGAAGGGGGGTGGGGGGTTCCAAATTTTGGGCCTAAAATGTGCATTTCAATGTGTGCAAAAAATGGGAAAAAAGGGGTTTAAAAGGTACCATAGAGATTCCTTTTCTAAAAAGAATGGTTTAGAAATTTAAAAGATTACGTGTTGTACTAAGAAATTGACATACAAACTAAAACACCTCCATCTTTTTTAACATACGTATTTTCCATCATAGGGTGCAGTAGTTGAAGCACGAGGAGCTTGGGTGAATTTGTCAGCTCCACTGGAATACATACCTCTCCATGTTAGAGGTGGATACATCATACCATGGCAGGAAACAGCCAACAACACTGTTTACAGGTGAGTGAAAACCACAGTTTCTATATAACACAAGTAATGAATAGGTGAGCGCTAAAAAGTCGCTGGAGCCGCTGAACACCAAAGGTACCAAACAACCTCAAAAATCAATAAATAAGCAGGGGGTGCAGTGCTATGGAATCATAAATAATACATCAAATAAAACTGAATAAAATGCTAAAAACACTGTAAAAACAAGTGTCTCTGTGTGCATAGATTAATTATGAATAACACACTATGGTGCAAAACACATTAAAGTGCAAAGTGTAAAGTCCACACACATAATTGATATAGGTCACTGTATCGTGACTATTCAGTAATATTCGTGAGTGCCCAGTCCACAATATCCCAGTGTTGAGAGGATCATGAGGATCTCTTATGACGAATATAAACGTGGTGATATCCAAAATGATATAAGACTACGCACTCACCAAAAATGCGCAATCAATATAAGCATGTAAGAGATAACCCCTCTTAAGGTTTGAATCCAGGAAACCCTCTGGAATGTGGTCTGGTCTATTCTCCGGGCTTCTTTAACCGGGCTTCTTCTGTAATGTTAGCCATTACATGGCTTGTCTAAGTAACTTTTCCAGTTCTAGTAATTAGCAAAAACAGTAAGTGTCAAAAACATACTATCATTTAGAGCCTCGTAGGTAATTCGGGTTCCTTAATACAAAATGCCTTGAAACATTCCATTGTGATTGGATTAAGGTGACTGAAATACTGGCTGCAGTGTGGCTATAAATGCTGGAGTATGTTCCTGTTAATTATAGGGCCACAAAAAAGCTACTTGGATACGCTGAAAAACATTGTCGACATTACAGATCAAGGTCAGCTGAATGTGAAAACTACTACTAGTTATACCATGACAGAAATAAAATTAATTACCACACTTTGGGCTGCAGCATATTTTATTGTTTATTAAAAAGCAAAGAACAGACATATACCACTGAGGCAAACAATCCAGATCAATCCTCGATAGGTGCAGGCTTTGGCTCGCCACCACACACAATGCAACAGGAAGAATGGTCAGCTGCACACTGGAGGATTGATGAATATAGTGTGTATTTATTGATCCATAGGACACACAAAACACCAAGACATGAATACAGAAACTGTTAACGCGCTTCACATGATCTCATGCTTTATCAAGCACGAGATTGTGTGAAACGCATTAACAGGTCCTGTATTCATGTCCTGGTGATTTGTGTGTCCTATGGATCAATAAATATACACTATTTTCATCAATCTTCTGGTGTGCGGCTGATCATTCTTCTTATTAAAAACCAGCTGGGGTCACCTTTTTAAAACGGTAGTAAACTCCACTGTAAACATTTTTAGGACCCCTTAGGTGGGTTATGCCATAATGTGCTAGTATGCATGGCATATTCGTACATTATGGCAGACTTACCTGTCAAGTTGTGCCCTCCCAGCACTGTGGTCAGGGGCGGACTGACCATTTGAAAACTCTGGCACTGCCCGAGGGCCCGGGTCAGTAGGGGGCCCCATGAGATGCCCCTGGTACCTTTTTCATAGGCTTTTTTTGAGTTTGGGCAAGGACACAGGGGCCCCATGATCCCCTATTGCCCGGGGGCCCCAGGAGTTGTCAGTCCGCCCCTGGCTGTGGTGGGATTGATCCAGTGGGTCCCCTGGCACTTCCATCTTCGCCCCCGGTCTTTCCTCCAGGTCCCGTGCCTTTCAATAGGCCAGACCACGATGACATCACTCCCGTGCATGGGAGTCACGTTGCCCCGACTTGGTTCGGGCCCATAAATGTTTGCTGAGCTGCGCATGCATGGCACAATGTACATGAAGGTTGACAGGCAGGAGGATGCATTTATATAAGAAGAGACCAATAGTGTCTCTTCTGTCATAATTACCCTGCATTTCAGCAATTGTGTAAAAATTTACTTAACTTCCATTTTAATGCTATAAATTTGCTGCAGCCTGGAGTGCAGGAATCCATATGCGTCTCTGACTAATTGAGCCACTCACCTTGATCGTTATACATACCTGGGTTGATTTACAAAAGGCATATACAGTCAGGTCCATAAATATTGGGACATCGACACAATTCTAACATTTTTGGCTCTATACACCACTACAATGGATTTGAAATGAAACGAACAAGATGTGCTTTAACTGCAGACGGTCAGCTTTAATTTGAGGGTATTTACATCCAAATCAGGTGAACAGTGTAGGAATTACAACAGTTTTCATATGTGCCTCCCACTTGTTAAGAGACCAAAAGTAATAGGACAATTGGCTTCTCAGCTGTTCCATGGCCAGGTGTGTGTTATTCCCTCATTAACCCAATTACAATGAGCAGATAAAAGGTCCAGAGTTAATTTCAAGTGTGCTATTTGCATTTGGAATCAGTTGCTGTCAACTCTCAAGATGAGATCCAAAGAGCTGTCACTATCAGTAAAGCAAGCCATCATTATTAGGCTGAAAAAACAAAACAAACCCATCAGAGAGATAGCAAAAACATTCTTAAAAAGAAGGAACGCACCGGTGAGCTCAGCAACACCAAAACACCCGGAAGACCACGGAAAACAACTGTGGTGGATGACCGAAGAATTCTCTCTGGTGAAGAAAACACCCTTCACAACAGTTGGCCAGATCAAGAACACTCTCCAGGAGGTAGGTGTATGTGTGTCAAAGTCAACAATCAAGAGAAGACTTCATCAGAGGGAATACAGAGGGTTCACCACAAGATGTAAACCATTGATGAGCCTCAAAAACAGGAAGGCCAGATTACAGTTTGCCAAACGACATCTAAAAAGCCTTCACAGTTCTGGAACAACATCCTATGGACAGATGAGACCAAGATCAACTTGTACCAGAGTGATGGGAAGAGAAGAGTATGGAGAAGGAAAGGAACTGCTCATGATCCTAAGCATACCACCTCATCAGTGAAGCATGGTGGTGGTAGTGTCATGGCATGGGCATGTATGGCTGCCAATGGAACTGGTTCTCTTGTATTTATTGATGATGTGACTGCTGACAAAAGCAGCAGGATGAATTCTGAAGTGTTTCGGGCAATATTATCTGCTCATATTCAGCCAAATGCTTCAGAACTCATTGGACGCCGCTTCACCGTGCAGATGGACAATGACCCAAAGCATACTTCAAAAGCAACCAAAGAGTTTTTTAAGGGAAAGAAGTGGAATGTTATGCAATGGCCAAGTCAATCACCTGACCTGAATCCGATTGAGCATGCATTTCACTTGCTGAAGACAAAACTGAAGCAAAATGCCCCAAGAACAAGCAGGAACTGAAGACAGTTGTAGTAGAGGCCTGGCAGAGCATCACCAGGGATGAAACCCAGCGTCTGGTGATGTCTATGCGTTCCACACTTCAGGCTGTAATTGACGGCAAAGGATTTGCAACCAAGTATTAAAAAGTGAAAGTTTGATTTAGGATTATTATTCTGTCCCATTACTTTTGGTCCCTTAAGAAGTGGGAGGCACATATGCAAACTGTTGTAATTCCTACACCGTTCACCTGATTTGGATGTAAATACCCTCAAATTAAAGCTGACAGTCTGCAGTTAAAGCACATCTTGTTTGTTTCATTTAAAATCCATTGTGGTGGTGTATAGAGCCAAAAATGTTAGAATTGTGTCAATGTCCCAATATTTATGGACCTGACTGTAGACTGTTCACTCAGCAAGGGCATTTTCCTTAGCTTTGGTGAAAATTTTCTTTGCAAAGAATACCCAATCACATGCAAGGAAAATAAAAAAGTGTATCTTAATCATAAACTACAGGATTGTAGTCATAGACCATGCGTTATATACAGGCTACTTTCGGGTCATTGGACACTGGCAAAGAACTTTGCTAGGGCCGCTCTTAGTGCACACTCATATAACCCCACACATCAATGAGACTTCTTTTTTGCTAGTGTCCTTAGGTAATAGACCCCTTCTTTTGAGGATGTTTTTTTCTTTTTAAACCATGCTTTTTTTTTCTTCTTCAGACTTTTATGTTAAGCTTTGATTGAACTCAGAGAATAAGACAAAATCTACCCTTGCAGTGGCTCCCTTCCCCCCCTCCCTTCTACACTGAAAGGGTTAAATGCTTATTTAGCCACTTAAAGACCAAGTATTTTCTGGCACTTTTTGTTTACAAGTAAAAATATGTATTTTTTTTGCTAGAAAACTACTTAGAACCCCCAAAACTATAATATAAATGTATATACATTAATATGAGCAGAGACTCTAGAGAATAAAATAGCGACCGTTGCAATTTTTTATGTCACATGGTATTTGCAGTTTTTCAAACTCAGTTTTTTTGGAAAATATTTATTTAAAAGAAACACAATATATGACCCAATTTTTTGTCAAATTTGAAAGATGATGTCACACCCGAGTAAATAGATACCTAACTTGCATGCTTTAAAATTGCGCACACTCATGAAATGGTGCCAAACGGCACTTAAAAATATTCATAGGCGATACTTTAAAAGCCTTTACAGGTTACCAGTTTAGAGTTAGAGGAGATCTAGTGCTAGAATTATTGCTCTCGCTTGCACGGTGATACCTCACATGTGGGGTGTGAGCACGGGGGGATAGGGACACTTTACATTTTTTTTTATTTTTTTATTTTTTTACACTTTCCCTTTAAATTTGGGTTTTTTTTAATAACTTTTATTGCTATCGCAACAAATGTAAATATCCCTTGTGATAACAAATTATGACTGGTCCTCTTTTTGGAGCGATCTGGAGTCTATACACATCTCTCCTCTACAATGGAAAGCATTAGATCCGAAAAAAAAAAAAACATTGATCTAATGCTTTCCTAAAAAAAATGGCCTTCTTTACATTTGGCTGGAACTGCAAGTGAAGTCATGATGTTGCTCTGGTCCTCCTAGATCATAGAGATTAGCTGAGGCCATCTTTCCTCAGCTAATCTCTATGCCCTGCCACCGCGATCACCAGATTGGTTCCACTGCTCACCGATCAGGTAGGTAAGCCGAATAACCATCGGAAAGTGGCAGGTGAAGGGGAATGAAGTGATTCCTCCCTCTGCTTAAAGAAGCAATCCAGTGGAAAATCAGCCTCTCAGATCACTTTTAGTAGAAACAGCAGCGGCTGCTGTAAATTTTAATACAAAGGTTATGGCATCCAGTTGCAGCCATAACCCCAGTATTCCACCTGAAAACTGCTATATATATATATATATATATATATATATATATATATATATAAAATTTCGGTCTTGAAGTGGTTAGTAGTCTAGGGGTGCAGGGATGAAGTCTATTCCTTACCTTATCCCTCAATATAGAAAGGCTTTATCGCTGTCCTTAGGCTTTGGGATGTTGACAGTTCCTCAGCATTATCAAACACAGTCTGGGGATATGTTGTAGGTGAGGAAGTGAGCATGTGACCATATTAAATAAAATGTAAACATTTGCACACCGGGACATTATTTCATAATACACCTAAAGTGAAGACCTATGTAATAGGAAAATATGATTTAAAGCTGATAAAAACTTCAGCAATGATATCTCATGTTATTTCTCTGTTATATTTGCAGTCGTAAGAAGTTTATGGGACTTCTGGTAGCCTTGGATGATTATGGAAAAGCACATGGCAATCTTTTCTGGGATGATGGAGAAAACATAGGTAAGAGCAAATGCTGAATATAAAACAATAGAAGATACTTACTGGAAATAGAAGAGAAATAATATTCTACTATTTCTAGTTTGCCTTAAAATCAGCCTTTATGAGTTGTGGCAGCAGTTTATTGTGGGATTTAAAATTCAGAAGTGGTAAATGTCAATAAGGCAAAACAAAGGCAAGATATATGTTATAATGTAGCCTGACTGGTAAATATTTCTCTTGCAGATTCAATAGAGAATAAGGACTATTTCCTGGGAACATTCACTGCTGATAAGGTATATACTCATGTTACTATAAAATTGTTTTTTTGGCAGTTATCAGCACAGAAATAGTTGCTTAAGTGATACACATTTGAATGTTAAACAAATTATAATACATTCTGTTTATTTTCTTAGTTAAACCTAGCAGTATTACAAATCTGCTAGTAGAGTCTGTTGGCAGGGAAGAGCTATAAACCTCCTACAAAACCATAAAGTAAAATATTTGTTGAGAGTTTCTTGACAGAAAAGTCATGCAAAATCTTTTAAAAGAATCCTTGCTTCCATGCTTCTGGTGTTTGTTGATTCTCGAGGAACATTCACTGTGCATTGTACATCCCAGATCATTCTCCGCAATAGATGTGGGCATCTGAGACAATGTAACTTATGCACAGTTGTGCAGGAGTTAAATAAAAAGTGGTTGCTTAATGGCTGAACACAAGCACTGAGAACCCAGAAGAAGCAGCAGCAGCAAAGATGATGGTGCAATGAATGTGGCAGGGACTGGAGTCTGGATCTGTGATTTCTGGAGGGCACACTAGCAATTAAATGTGTCATAATAGAGGGGGTGCATGCACGTTATCCCAAGATGGCGGATGTGTGAAGGGTGAGCTCTGCCGATCCTCAGCCTTCAGAGACCTCCCGTTACTCTTCTGCAGCAGCCACAGACCCTGGAGTGCTCTCCACCAAGTCAGGTCACCTTCAGGCACACCCATGGGCAAAATCGGGCATTGGAAGCCACCCACGCCTCCTCCTCCAGATCCGAGACCTTCCATGCTGGATCACTTCTTTACTAGGTCTGCATCCCCTTCCTCGAGTAGTTGTGGCGGTCCGAATGAGTACTCTGGAGGGTCTGCTGAAATGGAGGGGACAGACACAGATGCCCCTGCTGCATTGCTTCCTATTTCAGTGGTCCCCTCTCTAACAGTGGATATCCTGGAGGACAAACTGCAAGTGTTTTAACACAATATTACCCGCACTATCTCTGCTGAAATTGGGAAACTGACTCAGGAGCTTAGGGGGGAGATTACCCAATTGAGAGATTGCACAGACCACCTTGAATCAAAGTTTGACAAATTGGTGCAATATGAACATGTCCTGGAAGAGGATAATATGAATTTGAAACATTACATGACTCAATTACAGCTTCAGCAGGAAGACCTGTAAAACAGGGAACTGCCAGAATATTCGTGTTCATTGCATCTCTGAAATGGTCCCTGCCTCCCAACTTCAGCATTACTTGCTGTCTCTGTTTTCTACTCTGGCCCCCAAAGTCCCAGATGTTGATTGGCGCATGGACCGGGCCCATAGATTATTAGGCCCGAAGCCTCCTGAGGGCACTAGGCCCAGAGATGTTATCATTCGTTTTCACTACTTAGACAGCAAAGAAACCTTGCTCACTTTGGCAAAAAGATTTGTCCGGTTGGGATTTCCTTTTAAGCTTGTTGTCTCCATAGATAATGCTTAAGTCTTACTCCATGACTTGCATGAAGCGGACTCCTTCTTTAAACAGTTGGGACTCCCTCCCCTGCCGGAAGAGGCCTTTCTGCAACCTCCTACACTATCCAGGTCCTCTGCTACTCCACGCAAGATCTGGACACCCGCTAAACCCGGGAAGAAGAGGTTTCCACGCACTCCCCAAGGACCTCGACTTCCTGGTTCAGTGGGCTCCACCACCTGACTCTTTTAAGTGTCAGGTTTTCTGCCATGTTAATTGAGCGTCTATGCACCCCTGTGTCCCTTAAAAACTTCCATTATATCTCCCTAATTAGTATGTCCTGATTACAGCTGTTATGTGGATTACTGAGGTAGGCACCTGTCATTTAGGGTCAGCTGCCGTGTTGCCCCCTTGTTCGTCAGGCTTTCAGCTCTGAGCACTCAGGATATCTCCAATATCCCAGGTACATATCTCTGATGATATCTTTTTTTCCAGCCGTAACCCTTGCAGCTTCTGTTCTGTGTGATACATTTGTTTGTACTAGGCCTGTTGCCATGCTAATCACCTGATTGTCTATTTCTGTTGTTTTGTGTCTTGTCTCATGGATGATAATTTTTTCTGCATGCTCAGGTTGCACAGCTGCCACACCCATTACTGTCTCATGATGGCTTTAAGGCTGCTGTCATAAAATGTCAAAGGACATTCAGTCCAAAAACGGTGGATGGCTCTGGAGGGGTTCAGATCCTTGGGAGCAGATATATTCATTCAGGACACCCATTTCAAACAGGATGGCTCTTTTTGCTTTGCCTCCTAGAGCTTTCCACAATCCTGTTCAGCTTTTGATCCCCACGGGAAAGCCAGAGTAGCTCTTTTGATCTGGAAAAGATGCTTCCTGAGGGTCTCCTCCTCTCGGGTTGACCTACTTTGTCGCTATATCTTGTTGGAATGTATGTACAAGGGCTCTCCATTTGTACTTTTGAATCTGTATGCACCCAACTCTGGTCAGTTGTTATTTCTTTCTCAAACTCTAGATAAGTAATGTTCCCTAACTACTCCATGCATAATTGTTGGGGGGGATTTTAACTTAGTTATGTCCCCCCATAAGGATAGGAAAGTGCTCTTTGCCCCCACTCCATCGAAGAGGCTATGCTCCTCCTCAACATCTTTCCGCAAACTGATTCGGGAGCATCGTATCTTTGACACCTGGCAGGTCAAACATCCTCTCCATGGGCAATTCACATTTTAGTCTACTCCACATCGCATGTTTTCTCCATTGGATAATTTTTTTGTTATCGCTCCCCTAATCCCTGTTTTGGTTTCTTTGGGATGAACCCGATGACTTGTTCAGACCATGCCTCATTGTCACTTGATTTCCTTCTCCCTAACTCCTCCCCTAAGGTCTGCCAGTGGCGCTTCAATAAGAGCTTTCTGCGCTTGGAACAACTTCGAAAGGAGCTCACTAGGAGCTTGGATGCTTACTTTCATCTCAATGTTGGCTTGGTATCTTCATCCTCAATCCTCTGGGAGGACCATAAGGCCGTCATTAGAGGCCTCTGTATTTCCATGGGCGCTCATTTAAAGAAGGGCTCTGTTTGTGCCAGACAATCCCTCTTACGCCAATTATCCTTAGCCAAACATTGTGTCACAAGTTAGCCTGCAGTTTCTTGTTTGTGTTCTTACCTGCTTGCTGCAGTCCTGTTCCTGATTCCTTCTCATGTGTTTGTGCTCATCTATGGGCATCGGCTGCTGTCCTCTGGGTTTTATTTCCTTCCCTTCCATCACTTCCTGGCCCGCCTCCTGGTTTGCATGCCTATATAAGACATGCTCAGACTAGGCCACTTTGCCTGAGCAACTTCCTAGTTGTTGGAGCTCCTGTGTGTTGCTACTGTATGAATCCTACATTGACTACTTGTGTACCGACCCCGGCTTCGTTCTCTGACCTTGCTACTTTTCCGCCTGTCCTGACCTCGGCTAGCCTATTGGATTCCGTTTATCTCCTCCCATTATACTTTGCTCCTACGAGCGGTCTCCTCAACCACAGCTGGGCATACCTGGGGGCGGCAACCTGGTCCCAGCTTGCTGCAAGTCCATCCCCACCATCATGGGCTTTGGTGAAGAAGCAGGCTGGGGCTTAGACTCTGCGCTCTGGGGATCCCCAAATTGAGTATCAAAAGGAGCTCACTACCACAGGTGCTGATAATTTGCTCAGGCCATGAGCTCCTTGGAGACACCACAGCCTCTCCTGGAACAACTTCAGTGCTTGGCACAGAGAGTCGATGTCCATCAGGCCTATCAAGAACAAATTATGCACTGTCCGCAGGAACTCTCCTCCCGGTTGGATCAGCTGCAGGCTGTGTCCACTTCCTCCTCCTCTGTTTTTGCTCCTGTCCCGGCTCCTGCTCTGGTTCCTGCTGTTCCAACCCCCACTGTTCCTCCAGTGGAATACAGTCTTTCGAAATGCCAGCTGCCTCCACTGCCTTGCTTCTCTGGTGATCCCAAAGCTTGTCGGGGGTTCATCAATCTGTGCTCAATTCACTTTGAGCCAGCAGCCCACCATTTTTCTATTGACCGTTCCAAGGTGGCGTACATGATTTCTCTCCTTTATGGTGAAGCACTGGCTTGGGCCTCACCACTGTGGGAGTGTCAAGATCCAACTGTTTTCAGCCTCTCAGCCTTCCTGCAAGCTTTCTGTAAAACCTTTGATGTGCCCGGCAAGAATTCATCTGCCACAGGAGCTCTTCTTCGGCTTTGTCAAGGTAGCATGACTGTTGGACAATATGCAGTTCAGTTTCGCGCCTTAGCTTTGGTACTGGCATGGAATAATGAGGCCCTTTCTGCAACCTTTTGGCAGGGTCTAGCAGACCATATTAAGAATGAACTAGGTGGAAGAACCATACCCACCACCCTGGATGACTTGATTGCTCTTAGCATCCAAATCAATATCCACTTCCAGGAGCAAGATCTGGAAAGGGATCGTCCACGTCACCCCCAGTGGGTTCATTTGCTCCTGTTTTCCAGAAAACCCCTGATCAACTTACCTCTGCAATTGTACCGACATCTGAAGAGCCTATGCAGTTAGGCCGTACACACCTCACTCCACAAGAGTGATTGTATTGCCTAAGATTTGGTCTATGCCTTTACTGTGGGTCTGAAGGTCATATAATTAAGTCCTGTTCTGTCCGTCTGGGAAACTCAGGTCTAGGTCACTCTGAGGGAGGTGATCTAGACCAGAACCTGAATACCGCCACCTTCCCTCAATTTATCATACCTGTCTCCATTCATTGGGCACTGAACTCGTACCAGGTTTCTGCTTATGTGGACTCTGGGGCAGCCGGGAACTTCATCAAGCAATCTTTGGCCACTGAATTAGGCATTCCTCTTGTCCCCTTGATGACACCCCAATCAGTATCTACAGTTGATGGCTCTACCTTGGCCTTAGGACCTCTACGCTTCTGAACCACCTCCATAACTATGCATGTTGGCGCTCTTCATCTTGAGGAAATCTCCTTCATGATCTTCCCTAAGTCTTCTAGTCCCATCATTCTTGGACTTCCATGGTTGCAGAAACACTCACCCAATCTTGACTGGAACTCTGGCCAAGTATTGTCCTGGGGGTCAAAATGCAATCGGACTTGTCTCCCTAAGGTGCTCCCACCTTGCACTGTATGCACTGTACCCGTGGCTGAGGCCACCACCTCTCCAATGCTCCCTTAACATTGCCAGGCCTTACAAGATGTTTCTTGTAGTAAACCTGCTCCCCTGCCTACTTCTATTGCGGGCCCCTTCCGGTGCTGTCCACCTCTAGTTCCTTACCCTCTTTGCTGCCCAAACCATCGGTCCCTTTACATACTGTGCAGCTCAGAGCTCCTATTTCACTACTTTCTGGATGGGTGGAGAACCCCAACATCTGTGACCTCTGTACCATCTGAGTTCCCAGCTTCGTGTGCCCTGCCTGCAGAGACCCCAAAACTCCCTTCAGCTGCTTTGGACCCAGCCGCGGTTTCCACATTAGTAGCTACTGTGCCTTCTGTCCCCTGTCCCGCCCCCATACACCCTATGGTGCCCTCTGTCCCCTGTAATACCCCAGGTTCCTGTTCTGCACAGCCTGTTTTGCCCACTGTATAAATCAAAGCCTTTCACGCCTACTCCTGTGTGCTTCCTGGCAGCCTCCTCACCAGACCTTTCATCCTGGTTATTGGTGTCTGTTCCAGCCCAGCTTCCTGTCTTATGTTCTCCCATTCTTACCCCTTCTGAGGCAAATGTTTCCAAGAACTTACATCTGTCAGCTTCCAAGTACAAAATAGCTGCAGATTGTCATTGCCAGGTGGTCCCAAATTTTTCCCTGGTGACAAGGTTTGGCTCTATCAAGAATATCCATCTACAAGATCCCTCTATGAAATTTGCTCCTCGGTTCATTGGTCCCTTTACCATCCTTCGTCAGGTCAATCCTGTTGCTTTTAAACTTTGTTTCCCTTCACATTTGAGAATCCCTAATGTTTTCCATGTTTCTCTTCTGAGACCGCATATCATCAACAGGTTTTCCCATCCTCATCGTCATCCTTCCCCAATAGTGAGTACTTCGGATCAGTATGAAGTTAAGCAAATCTTGGATTCTAAATTCATCAGAGGGAAGCTCTTGTATCTAATTGACTGGAAGGGCTATGGCCCTGAGGAGAGGTGTTGGATTCCTTCCACTGATGTTTCTGCACCCCGTCTGGTGTAATTTTTTCATCAAAAATTTCTCCTTAAGCCTGGCCCTAAAAAAGTGGGGACACCTCGTAAAGGGGGGGGGGGGGGTACTCTCACAAGTTAGCCTGCAGTTTTTTGTTTGTGTTCTTACCTCCTTGCTGCAGTCCTGTACCTGATCCCTTCTCATGTGTTTTTGCTCATCTATGGGCATCGTCTGCTGTTCTCTGGGTTTTATTTCCTTCCCTTCCATCACTTCCTGGCCCGCCTCCTGGTTTGCCTGTCTATATAAGACATGCTCAGACTAGGCCACTATGACTGAGCAACTTCCTATTTGTCGGAGCTCCTGTGTGTTGCTACTGTCTGAATCCTACATTGACTACTTGTGTACTGACCCCGATTTCGTTCTCTGACCTGGCTTGCTTTCTGCCAGTCCTGACCTCGGCTAGCCTATTGGATTCCATTTGTCTCCTCCCATTATATTCTGCTCCCACGAGCGGTCTCCTCAACCTCAGCTGGGCGTACTTGGGGACCACGACCTGGTCCCAGCTTGCTGTAAGTCCATCCCCACCATATGGGGCTTTGGTGAAGAAGCAGGCTGGGGCTTAGACTCCGTGCCCTGGGGAACCCCAAGTTGAGTATCAACAAGAGCTCACTACCACAGGTGCTGACACATCGATTGCTAAATAACCCATCTATATCTCAGCTCCAGAAAGTTTCCCATATAAATTAGGGCTAGTCTCTCACCTGGGCTAGGCAAAACTTTTATGAGTTTTCTAATTAACCAAATAGCATGCTCGTGAATAGACTTAAATCTCAAACGTCCCCCTCACTACCGGGCCACGTACTCCAGTCCGATGGCAAACCTACATATGACCCACATGTTATGGCTACAATATTTGGGGAATAATATGAGCTTTATAATTGCCTAGCCCCTGATATTCACCCTCCCCTTCAGATGGCTGCTTTTGATGCTTTTTTTGACTCCTTACATTTGCCGTGTTTATCACCTTCCAGTGTTACAGCTCTGAATGCAGGCAATTTAATTGTATAATTATTGGATGTTGTTAAACACCTTAATACTCACAAGTCCCCAGGACCGGACAGTCTCCCTTACTCATATTACAAGTCCTTTATTGGCATCTTAGCCCCCCATTTCTGACTTTGTTTTGGGATCTTCTGAAGGGGTCGCACCCACGTGATGATTTTACAAGCACATACATTTCTGTGATCCCCAAGCTGATTCAGGACCATTCCCTTCCAGATAATTATCACCCTATAGCCTTATTGAATTCTGACTACAAGATTTTTATGAAAATACTAGCTAATAGACTGGCCAAATATATCTCCAAGCTTATACACAGAGACCAGGCGGGCTTTGTCCCGGCTAGACACGACGCAGATAACACCAGGAGGACCATTGACCTGATTGATCTTGTCAATAAGTCCCCTAACCCTACGCTCTTGTTGAGCTTGGACGCCCAAAAAGCATTCGACTGATTAAGTTGGCCATATATGTTTCTAGTCTTAGAGAGATTTGGGTTTAACGGTCTGTTTGTAGCTGCTTTGAAAGCCCTTTACTCCACTCCCTCTTCCCAGATCAAATTAGCATTGTTCTTATCCCTTCTTTTCGGATGTCCAATGGTACATGCCAGGGATGCTCCCTTTCCCCCTTATTGTTTATCCTCTGTTTGGAACCCCTGGCTATAGCTATCAGATACAACCCGGATGTCCATGGGATACGCACCCACAATAGTGACTTTAAGCTGTCTTTGTTCACTGATGATATATTGCTGACACTGACGGAGCCCCACACTACCCTGCCTGTTTTACATCGTATTCTACAACTTTTTGGTGCCCTGTCAAGTTATAAGGTTAACGCATCTAAAACTGAAGCATTAATGCTCCACATACCATCTACCATTTTATCTTCTCTTCAGTCACATTATCCTTATCACTGGTGCCCCCCTGCCTTGTGGTATTTAGGTACCAACTTTACCTCTTACCACTCTCTCTATAAAGCTAATTTTTCCCCCCTGTTTCATGCTATTTCTCAATCCTTAAAATCTTGGGACAACCTTGCCATCTCCTTCCTTGGCAGGATTATTGTGTTGAAAATGACCATATTGCCCAAGCTTTTGTATCTGTTTGAGAAACTTCCTGTTTCTAATCCCATGTCCAAGTTCGTTCCCTTCAGAAATCCTTCCTCCACTTTATCTGGCATAATAAATCTCACCAAATTGCCCGTACTGTCCTTCTCTCATCTCACTCTAGGTGAGGTCTGGGGACCCCAGAGCTTGTGTCGTATTATTTGGCTACTCACCTCCATATTCTTGTTTCATGGTCCTCTCAGTGCCCCCCTAATAAATGGGCTGAGATTTAATGTCTACAATTGCATCCAATACTAACAATAAAAATCCTCCTGCGCTCAATGGAATCCCTAAAAAGGTCAGAAAGCCCGCTAACACTCAACCTGATACCCAACAGTAGATAATCAAAAATAAAAATAGTGCAGCACTAACTATATAACATCATGATGAGAAGAAATATACAACTCTGATTAATGATAATAATCTCAATAATCACAATATAAAAATCACACATCCAATGGTGCAATAGGGTGACCCAATCATGAGATCATAAGATGGAATGAATCACAGTAAACTAGACGTGACCCCAATCCCACTCACTAATGTGAATAGTGAGCATTAAATCAGTATCACAAGTGAAAAAAGTCCATACATAAGATAATGGTGCTCGACTCCATGCGATAAAAATAATGCAAGTGATCACACAATACACTTCAAGTGATGGTGAGTGATAATCCTCCTGTGGCTAAATTGCCCCCTCACCTCCACTCTGCGGCCCAAAAGGACCTACACGCCTTTAAGATCAATCGGGATCTTGATCCACACAATGAGAGATATCACTAGCTGCTTTCCTATGGACCTCTCATCCGGTAAGGTAGATTCAGGATAGCCTGGCTCTTGGTCTCAGCAGGATATACCTCTCACCCGGATGATATAAACACAGGAAGAATCTCTCTCTAATATGCCACAAAACTATGTGCTTTTATTAAGGTAAAACAATAAGCAACTCAGATGCTAAAAAGCGATCCACAACTTCATAGGGATGTATGGGTGTACTGCATGGGTAATTAAGATAGACTCAAGGTGTACAAAAATGTCGGCCATACCGGAAGTACGTCACCACCACCGGATGCTGCGTCACCACGTATCGACGCATTGTGTCACCGTCAAGTGACTTTGTCAGGATATCCTCACGGAGTCACGTGACAGTGACGCAACGCGTCCATACGTGGTGACGCAGCATCTGGTTGCGGTGACGTACTTCCGGTACAGCTTACACCTGGTAAGTAAGAGTCAGGAATAAAATCCATTTGAGACATCAATGTATACTTCTGTATGTGATCTGTAATTGGTCACCAGTGAGCACATGGTCCCTGGGCCAATCACAGCACCCTGTACCATGGTAGTTGGGGACCAATAACAGCATCACAATAGCAAACAATGACTCATTATTAAAAGTCATGACATATAGAAAAAAAACTAAATTTAATTAATGTCTTTCATTTCCCAAAATTGTGACAAATTACAACTTTAAAAAACTTTTTTTGATAACTGAAAATAAGTCTATAGATACGCAATTAGTATGCAATTTATCCTATTTTTTTCTCTATATCTATTTGTCTTTCCATAGAACACAGTGTCAAGTGCAATAACAACAAATAATTACTTATCCTTAACAAATCCTTTATTACTTGGACATGTTTATATTTGGGGCCCTGGAACGAATGCCAAATCTGTGTCGGTTACATATGGTAGCAATACAGATGTGATTACCAGTTTTACAGCCGTTAATGAGGTAAAGACTATCTGAGAAAATTGAAGTAATGAGAGCACTTAATTATTAGTTGGTGGCATTGATTATATGTATAATGTATAATATATAAGAAATACTGACATCTGATAGAAAACTCACGGAATGGCAGAGCGGAGAAAAGTAACTCTTGCTGTGCCAAGAAAGCCCTGAATTAGTGAAATGTATGCATATGTGTAATGGATTTTCCTAGATACAACATATATGTGGATAGTCTGAAAACATTTTTAAAGTGTGGTCATTATTATGGTTTTGCACTACAAGTATGTACAACTAATAGGTAGTATTATAATGTTAAATTTAACTTAATAATAATCTGCCTACTGCACACATACACACTGGGCTTCAAATATTGTATTAAGTAAATGTAACCTGGCCTAAAACATGATGCAGTAATAGTGCTGAAATGCTCGTGTTCTTCTTCCAATCAATTCCTGTGTCTCTGAGTAACCTCCTTGAAGCTCAGGCCCAGGTTGTAAATGTGTCCTTGACTTCTGCCCAATAGTCACTAAGCTTTGGCCCTTTCTAACACTAAGACCTCTTGTACATGGACATAATCATCATTTACCAATGTTTATATGCAGGATCTTGCTGGCATAAAGATCTGAGAAAAAAATTCAAGTTATGTTCTTAAAGACCTTGCGTATACAATTATACAGGTGCTTTAAAAGTTCATATGTGTATACATGTGAGTGTTCTATTTTGAACATTTTTAAATATCATTTAAAGGATAAGTTCAAATCCCGTAACATGTTACATACATATTCAGGGTATAACATGTAACATGCTACGATTGGAACGGCCTCTGCACCCCTCCGATCCCCATTGTGACAGGTAGAGGGGGGTATTCTCCTCCCTGCTAGTTGTCACAATTGTTTTTAAATGCGGCTATTCTCTGAATGGGAAAAGTACAATTTCTGACAGCCTTTGCAGCTGTCAGCTTGTAGTTTTCAATGAACTACCAGGGTGCTCCACAGCACCTTGGTAGTTCATTGAGTCTTTCTGTCAATAAGTATCCGCTTGCCCATAAGGATTGTACGAGCAAACAGATATACTGACAGGACAGGGGGAGACCTGCACGGCACCAGCAATCTGCTGATCACTGTTGCAATGCTTTAGAGACTCCACAAACAAAAATAATAAATGCTAATTTTTTTTACCTGCAAAAAATGTGCATATATTATCTTTTGTTTAAAGGTGAACTTATCCTTTCGAGAGAGAGAGAGAGCGATACATCTATATATATAGACAGAATATCAACCAAAAATCCAGAAAAAACACATGAAACAAATATTACAAATTGAATTGCAGTTCAGTGAGTAAAATAAGTATTTAATCCCCTACCAACCAGCAATAATTCTGGCTCCCACAGACTGGCTATGTGCTCATGTAGTACACTGATTAGTCCTGTCAATTTAAGAGGGTGCGTCTAAAGAAAACTTGTTTTGTGTATTAAAGACACCTGTCCTCAGAATCTCTTTCTTGGGCCCCACCATGGGCAAGATCAAAGAGCTGTCAAAGGACATCAGGGACAAGATTGTAGATGTGCACAATGCTGGAATGAGCTACAAGACCATCAGCAAGAAGCTTGATGGGAAGGAGACAACTGTTGGAGGGAAAATTAGCAAATGGAAGAAATACAAAATAACCATTAATCACCCTTGATCTGGAGCTCCATGCAAGATTTTGCCTTATGGGGTAAGGATGATCATTAGAAAAGTGAGAGATCAGCCCAGAACTACACGGGAGGAGCTTGTGAATGATCACAAGGCAGTTGGGACCACAGTCACCAAACAAACCATTGGTAACACAATACGCTGCCATGGATTGAAATCCTGCAGCGCCCACAAAGTCCATTTCCTTAAGAAGGCACATGTACAGGTCCATCTGAAGCTTGCCAATGAAAATCTAAATGATTCAGAAAAGGATTTTGAGAAAGTGCTGTGGTCAGCTGAAACCAAAATTGTGCTCTTTGCATTAACCTGACTCGCCGTGTTTGGAGGTAGAAAAATGCTGACTATGACCCTAAGAACACCATCCCTAAAGTCAAGCACAGAGTTAGAAACATTATGCTTTGGGGCTGTTTCTCTGCTAAAGGTACAGGCCCACTTTTCCGCATTGACCCATCAATGGACGGGGCTATGTATTGTAAAATCTTGAATGAGAAACTTCTTCCCTCATCCAGAACACTGAAGATGGGTGGGTCTTCCAGCATGACAGTGACCCAAAACATACCACTAAGGCAACAAAGGAGTAGCTCAAGAAGAAGCACATTAAGGTCATGGAGTAGAAAATTTTGAGAGAGCTGAAACTTCGAGTTGCCAAGTAACAGCCAAGAAACCCTAAGGATTTAGAGAAGATCTATAAAGAAGAGTGAACTAAAATCCCTCCTGAGATGTGTGCAAACCTGCTAACCAACTACAAGAAACGACGTACCTCTGTGCTTGCCAAGAAGGGTTTCTCCACCAAGTACCATGCTTTGCTTGGGGATCAAATACTTATTTTACTCACTGAACTGCAACTCAATTTATAACATTTGTATGTGTGTGTTTTTTCTGGATTTGGTTGGTTATATTCTGTCTCTATCATTTAAAATATACCTATGATAAAAATTATAGAGCCTGCACTTGCATGAACTTGTCATAAGTATATACTGTATACCCAGTCTGAACAATATAATTGTAGTGTTCCTTTAACTGATAAGAGTGTTCTACTAGGATTAGAGGCATTTAAATCAGCAATATGAATTTTGAAATGTAACACAAGTTCTATTCTTTACTCTCTTCCAGGTTTTACAAATCCATCTCACAAGCAAGCAATATAACTTGGCACAACCAATTAGTGTTACATGGCAGACCTAACTTGAATGAACTCTTATTTCTTAAAATCTTCATTTGAAAAGAACATCCAAGAATATAGCTTTTTTAGCTAATCTCAACAGATTTTTATACCACAGATTTCTTACATTTTCTTTAACTAAATTTATATTGCTCTACTTCCTATTCAATTAAAATTATTGACTGAATATGTCTGCTTTTTTATTCTTTATATAAATTGAGTATAAAGCACTGTGAAGCACTGACTGAATTCAGTTAAAAGCAGTAAACACCTTTGCTATGGAAGTCCTAAATTTAAAACTCATATCAAAAGAGTCTTACATTATCCATGTGAAAATAAAGGTGGAATATAATAGAGAAGTGGTTACAGAGGATGCTTTCTGTACACCACAGGACACAGGGTACTTCATATTTATGCATGCTGCTACCTTCGGGTGAATGAATAGTGGTCAAAAAAAAAAATCATGAATACTCTTCTGAGACATTACCCTTCCCAACAAAGCTAAGCCTCAGGTTTTAAAGAGTGTCTTTAGATGATGGATGCATCTGCATCCGTCTTTCTGAAGACCTTTAAAGTGGGCGTAAGTCCCCTATTTCATGACCTCTTCTGCAGACCCCTGCTGGGGAAAGGAAAGGTTTCATTTGGATCGTTCACCTGTTGCCCTGAGACCAAGAGGAACTGTGCCTGGAGCACACATAAAAAAACAGGAATGGCCTGTAATTTTGCTGTGTTCAGCGCTGGATCCTGTAGGCAGCGATCTCTGGGGTACTCAGTATCTAGTATCTTTGCTGTCAGGATGGTTTCCAAGGCAGTGATCCCCTTGAGGTAGAATTCTTGAAGGCCCTGTGGGGCGCGCATCCATGGTGAGGGGTAAAGATTGAACCTTTGGCTGTCAAGAACCTGTGGTAGTGAGCCTTTGTAGATAGTTAACTTGGGGTTCTCCAGGGCACGGAGTCTAAGCCCAAGCTTGCTTCTTCACCAAAGCCCTTGATGGTGGGGATGGACTTGCAGCAAGCTGGGACCAGGTCCCGGCCCCCAGGTACGCCCAGCTGAGGATGTGGAGACCGCTCGTGGGAGCAGAGTACAATGGGAGGAGACAAATGGAAATCCGATAAACTAGCCAAGGTCAGGATGGGCAGAAAACAAGCACAGTCAGTGAACGAAGCCAGGGTCGGTACACGAGTAGTCAAATGCAGGATACATGAGTTATCAACACACAGGAGCTCAGACAACTAAGCAGTTGCTCTGGCAAAGTGATCTAGACTGAGCATATCTTAAATAGACAGGCAAACAATGAGGAATAGAAGTGATGGAAGGGAAGGAAATAAAACCCAGAGAACAACAGACAATGCCCATAGGTGAGCACAGACAAACCACACGTGTGAAAGGGATCAGGAACAGCACTGCAGCAAGGAGGTAAGAATACACAAACAAGAAACTGCAGGCTAACTTGTGACATTGCCCTGGGTCAAGGAATAGTGAGTTCCTCTGTGATGGATTTTGTTGAAGTTCCCCTTGTGTTCCCAGGTGCTTTGGGGTAGTGCAGGCTAGTAACTGTGCAGTACTGGAGTGACCTGCCACAATAGTATTAATCAAGTGGAGTGGATCAAGTGTGGCATGCATGATGACATGATGTCATCATGCACATATTAAATTTCCATTTCCCCTGGGCATGCAAACACATGCAATCAGCAGCTCCTGATCACAGTACCGACATAGTTCCGGTGCAGTGAAAGAATGTACGTATGTCTCTTCATGATGTTTCTATAGAGCATATTTTTGATTGAACTGATTGATAAATATGTTTGATCAGCCCCCTATATGACTTCTACAGGATTTCTTTTTTCAGTAAATTTTTTCTTAAGGATGTTAGTTTGTAAGTGTTCGATTAACAAGCAGTTTTAAGTAGTTTGGCAGAGCTGGCTCTTAGGGGTGTTCTTTTTCCTGGGAGAGCAAGTAAGCATTTCTCTGTGGTGGGTTTGACATGGTTAACAGATGTTGTATTGATATTTTGATGGCCAAGTTTTAAGTCTATATAAAAACTACTGCAGGAAACATGAGAAGACCACTGCACGAAACAAAAACTCCAATTCTGATCTCATATTAATTATCCAGTTCAAGCAGAAATATTGCTCAATAGAAAACTTCATCAAAAGCCGTTTTTTCAATTTTTATAGACTGTATTCTCTTAACGCATTTACTACATTCTACCAGGTAGATGCGAATGAGAGTTTTGGACTGGACTACAGGTTTTGGAGGCAGCTTTGTATGGGGGTTTCCCCTATTTTGCTTTGGTTTTTGGGTGTTTTGGCATTGTTGCTCTGTTTCCCATGCCTTATGTTTAGTCCTATGAAGGTATGAAGTACCTTGTGTCTGATTATTGATTAAGACATTAGGATTTTTGGTTACCTGTAAAGTAATTTTCTTTTCTGGATACAGGGATCCCTCCCTTTTTGTCCTTTGCTATTGCGTGCTATAAAACTGAGGCTTAGCTGAGTTGGATGGCTTATGCCTGGGGAGGGAATTCCTACCTTTGTGGCCATTGTCTATTCACCTGAGGGTTTCAGCATAACTCAAGTAGTCATAAATATGAAGTACTCTGTGTCCTGTGATGTACTCCAAAACAAAAGATTTTACAGGTAAGCCAAAATTCCTAACTTTCTGACTCCGGAGTAATCAAAATCCAAGAGCCAATATACCTTGTCAGTAAGTAGGCTTCTTTAATAAATACTCTGACACACTTATTTCAGTAACCTCCTTTTCTTTTTTTCAGTGAAAAATTTTTCACATAGAAATTTTTTACATAGTTTTTTTTTGCTCTAAGATTTCCTTTATATGTCTGATAATTGCAAATAACATGACCAATTGACAACAGGGTCATATAGGCATTAAAGCCCAATTGATTGCAAGCATTTTAGGGATTTGTTAAGTGTTTTATTTTGAATACCTAAAGTGGTGGTAAACCCTTACCCAAGTAACCTTACCCAAGTAACTAGACTCCGGTAATACACAGAGACCAAACAAATCCTCTTGCATAAGTTGTACTTATTTATCTGCAGTCATCTTTTCTCCACATCTGTTTAAATACATAGTTTAAACAGCTTTTCTAAGCTTCCAGAGGCAGGGAGTGGAGATCTGATGTCACACACTGCAAAGCCCAGAGATGAGAGCTCAGTGTAATCTGAGACCTGAGTGGAGGGAAGAAAACACCACCCCAAAAAATAACCTCATAAGGAAACATGCACAGCTAAAGCTGTCAATGAAAGGATGTGTATTGGAGCCCCCCTCCTCCATTCCATCTCTTGGAGTCCATACAGCCTGTCAGAAATGACTCATGCAGATAACAAAAGAATCAGGCTGCAAACAGAAATCATACTCAGTGCTTTGGATTGAAGTAAGTACACACTATAGAAGGATATGCTTTGTTCATTTTTCATGTCAGAGGTTTACAACCACTTTAACAATGATTTTATTTTCTCTTTAAAAAGATGAATATGCTTTTCACCATGCTTGTACCACAACAAAAGCCACCAATATGACAACTTCTGTTCATTCTTAGAGATTTCCCTGCATGTAGCTTGTGTTGAGTTAGCCCCACCAGTAAATACTAGGCAGCTTAGCTGGACATTCAATTGAATGCTTGGAAGATTTGGCTATATTTTTCAACAAACAAATCTGACTGATCCTAAAGTATTTTAATGATGATTCGATTGGAAAACAAATGGCAGTTGTGCAAGATTAACCAGTATTTTAGATAATAGCAGAGAACAAACTAGAATAAAACATGAACTACCCAGTTCACCTATATTGAGCATGAACTTGTCAGTAATATAAATCTCCATGTTCATCATTAAAATACACCCAAAATTCATGTAGTGAACAGCCCTAACAAAAGAAACAATCAACATTGTCATTAAGCTTCTTGCAGCATTGTACCTGTACAATCTACAATTACCAAATATTGATTAGCAACATGATTTTAAATAAATAAATATGGGGGCGCATGCGTGGCCGGCTCCTGAATGGACGTGCAGTGAAACCCGCTCCGTCCATCCCGCGAGACCTGACACGGCACACACCGGCCCCAGGGGATTTAAACCGCTCAGTGAGCAAGGGCAGAGGTGCACAACCCTCCCCAGCAATGCCCCACCGTTGAAAAACCCTGGGACAGCCGGGAAAACTTACACATTTCTTCCCTGCTGTTCAAGCAGGGATCCAAGATGGCGCCGGCTGTCAGAAAAGAGCAGGCAGGCATGAGGAGGATGACAGGATCCAGCAGACAGATCCCAGGCTGCAGTACCCGCTCTACCCAGGGGACCCTGGTGAGTCATCTCCTCCCCTGTCCCCCACAACAAGTAGCCCAGCTATGTCCAGACCACGCCTGGACACAGACACTGCAGCCACCTGCCAAACCCTCATCTATCCATCCCCTCAACATGCCAAAGATTTCCCAGTGATAGAATCGTTCCCTGTGTCTGACCAACCTATCTCGGAAATCTGCATGAAAAACATGCTCCTCTCACTCAGGCAGACGCTACACAGCGACCTGACATCCTCACTCGCCCAAATCACTACCGTGATTCAAAAACAGGATCACAGATTATGCCATATTGAGACAAAGATGGGGGAAAAAATAACACAACAACTTGATTGACTCACATGCTGACCACACTTCTGACATCGAACAAATTAATTTGAAACTAGCGGACCTGGAGGATTGTTCCAGACGCAACAACATCAAATTTAGGAATATTCCTGAAAATATCACCAACGAGGCACTGCTACCCTACATTCAACAATATATGAAACACCTTATTCCGTCTCTCTCAGATGTAGAGCTTGCCATAGACCGCACCCATAGAATACCCAAACCGTTTTTCCTGTCAGCATCAATCCCTAGAGATGTCTTGGCACGTATTCATTGTTACCACATAAAGGAGAAGATAATGACAGCAGCCGGAAACCCTCCTCCACTCCCGTCATCACATGCAAACATCAAATTATACGCAGACCTATCAAAAGC